CATAACACATAACACACACACACACACACACACACACACACACACACACACTCTGGTACCAGCATCGGCCCATGCTCCCCAGTCAGGCAATGCAGCCAGGAGCCATGTGGTGCCAGAGCAATGCAGGGGCAGGAAAGCAGGGAAATGGCTGGCGATGGGGAGGGGCTGGGATGCTGCGTTCCTGTTGAGGCTTCCCCTGGGTTCTACTGTCACTGGTTTCTGTCATCTTTGACAGGCAGCCAGGAGCAGATAAATATTTTCTAAATTGTTTAGGGGCCACAGAAGCCAGATAGAATGGCCGGGCGGGATGCATCTGGTCTGCGGGCAGTATTTTGCCTGCCCCTAATCTAGAACAAATCAATGGCTGGTTTAGAGTCTTGCTAGAGGGTCTTCAAAAACTAAACTGGTGACTGAAAAGGAGTAACTTATACTTTAGATACAGTTAGAGAGTAAGTATGAAAAGGCACCTGCCTGGTCAGACTCCAGACCAGGGTTGCCAAGATAATTTTTTACTGATAATCTTGACTCTTTTTATTGACAAAAAAACCTTTTTTTTTATTGACACATTTTTGCTGATGTATGTTTTACAACACTTTTGCCAGGCTATAGATGGCAGTTAGAAGGGCTAGGATTCAAATTTAGGGATTTAACACCAACCATAGTGAAAAAAAGTTTGGTTTCAGTAAAAAGGTTCCAGATTTTCAGGAAAAAATTGGTGGTTGGCAACCCTGCTTGACCGCAACAATGGTTTTACACTGTGCTGCCTGCAAGCTAGGGGTCCCCTACTGACCACTCCCTCTGCCAAGCCCAACTGTTCCCCATATCACGCTGCCCCCCCAGAGCACCCCTCAACTGAACCCCCACTGGCCCCACTCCGCACAACCTCCCCCGCAAATCCCAGCCCCACAGCTCTGTCCATCCCAGCCAAACCACCTTCCTCTCTGTCCTGCTCAGCTCAAGGTCATGTGGGGAGCACAGAAGAGTCATTACAGGCAGGTGAAGGCTGGGATATGCAGCAGCAGCACATGGCTGCTGTGAGAGAAGGACAGAGGCTATGAAAGCTGCCATAGGCCAGAAAGCCCTGACAGATAGTTACCTGCAAGACATCAAGCTACTCTCCCACTTAGACATCAGATTGCACTGCTCAGCTCAACCTGTCAACTGATATTGAATTTAGCCTCATTTCAACAGTGGTGATAGATCTTCAAACAAGGTCACCATGTCTTAACTTTTTATGAAAGGCTCCATTTTTTTTAATGAACAGGGATAAAATTCTAATGATATAGATTATCTCAATATAGGCATCACCTGTCCACATCAATCCCTGTGCTGCCATTTGCTGAAGCAAACAGGCTGTTACCTGTATTCTGCTGCTTAGTGGCAAAACACAATACTAACCACATATCGAGTGCAACTACCCTGGTTTAACTGCATATCTGTCTGTTTCTGATCCTGATACAATTTACTCCCATGTAGAAAACCAATGTAAATTACAGTGGGGTACATAACTGTCTGGTCATGCCCTCCATCATAGCTTAGTTGTGTTAGTACAGGCTGAGCTGTAAAATGGGAAGAGTAAGATGAGACCTATCAACTCAATAGTGGATAGATTTCATCTCGTAAGTGCTAATGGTTGCATAGTTCCTTGAAAATCAGTTACATGATAACTGCAAAGATCTGATCAGCAGGAAAAAATAAATCATTATTTAGTTCAAATTAGTTCTCCAAATCTAGACATGAAAAGAAAAATTGTGATAACACAAGCAGCAGCTGTTTTATTTTTTTAAATGCAAGATAAGATAAAAGAAATTGAAAACAAACACACTTTCTAAAGCCTATCTATTATCAGCAGAACTAAGCTTCTGTGACTTCCTGGTAGCCTATATTTGTCCCTTTCTTTCTGCTGAAGACATGTATATATTTAAGGACTGAGCTCAGGTTTCCCACACCAGGATAATGAAAGGTGGCTGTGTCACCACACATATTGTAGAATTAAAACATCACCAAACCTGCTGACCAGAAGCAGCTTTTAAAAACACACCCACGCTTTCATTCTGGACATGAACTATGTGATCATCATCAAGCAGAATGGGAATGGTTGCTACAACTCCTTAAATAAATGCTCCATCACAAAGGAAATGAGATATGAGATGAAAATCAATGGAAAAAGTACTTGTTATTAACAAGCAGAAAGACAGGCACAGCAGTCAGGGAGGGTTTGGCTGGCTACGAAGACATCAACCAACAAGAATAGCTTTGTCCTGATCCCTGATAATAGAGGAACTAAGATGCTGTAGGCACAAACAAAACAGTTATATACACCCTGAGAAAACACTTGGATGCACATCTTCTAATATCCCTGCATTTCTGAGGTTGGCAACAACTGAGAGATTTGTACTCTGCCACCTAAGAGAGACAAAATGGGATTTTTTTATGCTCCATTGAGATCAGTGGTTCCCTCTTGCCTTTTGAATATAACTTGTAATATATTCTAACTGTATCTAACAAAGCTGGGGAAAGAGTGCTTAGCTAGAAATTTGCTTAAAGTTTTCTCTGTCAAAAATGAAGATGTCTTCATGAACATTTTTCTTTTTCTGCAATATTTCAAACGAGTTGTATAAAATTTTATTCATAGTGAAAAACCTCCCATGGTTTATCAACTGTCTCTAACTGCAATTGGATACAGACCCATTTATAACTAAATTAAGCAGTCACAACTGGCCCTGGTCAGCTGTGACCCAAACTTTAGGGTTATCCAAAGCTGATTAGTTGCCTTTGTGAAATAAGTAGGTCTGAGTCAAGCTTTCTTAAAATTCCCATCCCGTCCCCATTGGTTTCAGCTAGGATCTGTATGATGATTGACTGCTACTCATAAAGTTGCACTCTCGACTCTGAATGGAGGACAACAAAGATCACACTTAGCAGGACTGGCCTGTTGTTACTGATTATAGCAGAGACAAACTTTTTCAATATTTTTGTCCAAATCTACTCTTTTGTTCAAGCAGAAATGTTCGAAGGCAGCATAATGATTTTGACAATGTTTTCAGTGTGAGTATTTCTCAGGTCTGGGGTGGACTCCGTTCACTTCCAGGGATAGAGTGACAGATGGAGAGACAGAGAAAGAAAATGTGAGGCAGACAGACAAAGATAGATCACTTGAACTTTTCAAGCCTACAATCATCTCCAGACAATTCCCTTTCAAAACAATCCTCAGAAAAGGTTTTGTTTTCATGCCAGTGCTGCAGAAAAGAAACAAGATGCTGAAATCTTAAAAGCCGTTGTAAAATGGAATTGTCATTTTGCAGCCAGCTTTATTAGCAATCTGGACAGAGACATCAAGCTCAGACCAGATGTGGAAAGTAATCTGTCCTCTTATTCCTAGAGAGGGTCTCTCCAGGGTAGGCCTGAGATTTACAATGCTGTACTTCACATAGTTTGCATGTTTCACATTGAGAACTGTGGGAAATTTAAGATATTCAGTAATCCAGTTTTAAAGCACAGAAAGGAAGATCTGGATGTGTCAGGACAGTCCTTGCTATAAAAGAAAAAGTATTCCAACAGGTGTGGCCTACTTTCCCCATAAAAAAGAGATTTTATAACTTAAATTTTCACTCACAGTGAAGTCAATGAGATAGTCGTTACCTGTGAAAAGTCTTGACCTCAGTATTGTAGGATGATAAATAATAGAGCTGGCTGAACACTGGGGAAGTAGTTTGTTAATTTGTGTCCCCTTTTTGCTAGAAATTTTGAAATCAAACTTTTCAAGTAGCAGGAATAACCTCTTCCCCTTCTATACTCCTGTTAATGGAATGTTTTACTAACATGAACTACTGAGACCCGTACTTTCTACTCTCTCAATTTTGCAACTCGGTGAGTTTTTATCAAGCTAAGTATTTCTCCCTTTGCCCTGGGTGAGAGAAGTGAAACAGAAAAGAGTGAAGGGTTGGACTAGTACTTTGTAATGAGTCGTGAAGGACAACATGTGGTTGCACTGCCCCATTTGGTTCCTATTCAGTTCATCTTCCCTGCATGCTAATCTAGCTTCATTACCAGGAATAATACCCTTCAACCACTCCTCATTTACCTGCACAATGTGGCAAGTACCAGACCAGAGGCAGCTACTTTCCATCCTGCCCTACACAGGGTTTGGCACTGTGGGGGCTCTGTACAGTTTCATGTGCCTCCCTAATAATCCCTTGAGTGTGCCGCCAGGTTGATAACTGAGCCACAGGACTCAACCCAAACCCCAAGGGCAGAACAGAAATAGGAGTCTTTCAGTCCCTAACCATTTGAGAACACTCCTTCACAGGTACTGTTTCTAGTCCGCTCACTCAAATCTATAACTCCTGCTTGCAGTAAGTTTTCCATCAGTGTTTATCCATCTAGGCTCTGTCTGGCTAAAATCATCAACTCTGATAATTTTTATTTTTTTTTATTTTTTTTTAGGCAAAGTATTGGTTCACTGTGCAATGGGGATCAGCCGATCAGCAACTCTTGTGCTTGCCTTCTTAATGATCTGTGAAAGCTTGTCCCTTGTGGATGCAATTCAGACTGTGCGTGAACACAGAGCGATCTGCCCCAATTCCGGCTTCCTCAGGCAACTTCGGGAGCTGGACATCCGATTAAGGAGAGAACAGCTAGAACGAACAGACTCCTTCAGGCTTTAGCTACAGATACATCTCCAGATTCCCAAACAAGAGAACTGGGTTGCCCTTCTGAAGACCGCATCTCTGCAAGATGCATAAACCTGGAAGATACTGTGTTTGGAGAACTCTGTCTGGGACTTTCATTGCACAAGTCGTCAGAAAAAGGGGTCCTAGTTTATTTAAGTGACAATGTGCTTGCCAATTCAAAGACGTGAAATAAAGAGGCAATCCGTATGGTACATGAAGCAAAGACAGGGAACTTTTGTCTTGATTCAAAATTAAAGGATGCATGGCTAGCTTGGGCTAAGGACTTCATATACACATGAGTGAAATTAAAAATAAAATGAAGGGAATTAATGTCCAAAAATCTAAACCATAGGACTTTACTAAACAGAACATGACCAGGTTTGCATGAAAAAGGGCAAGTTTCTTAAAAGCTGCTTTTAAAACCTGCACGTATAGTGTCAGCTCTACAGTGAATGAAAGTCTATGCAGTTGTATTAGAGTTACACTAGTTTATACAGCTGAGGATATAACCCATTCATTGGCATCCCCCTCCACTTACTAGCCTTAGAAGAGTCATTAGGACTGCAACAAGACCTCATGAGTTAGTCAGGGCTCCACCTACCCTGACAGCCTTACAAAGATCAGTGGGTCCTAATGAGTCAATATCAGAGGTCTCAAATCATGAAATAGAAACTAATCCACAACAGTCAGAGCCCACAAAAAAATTGTAATCTCTGCTGTTATATTACAGAATTGTCATCTTTTCCATTTCTTCAGTCTTTCAATCGTAGTTACACTCTTCAAGCAACTGAAGGTTCATAACACCTCTGCAACGGAGATAAGTGTTGGGGCTGTGCAAAGCTTTGGGTGCTGATTCGATTCAGAGGAGATTTGGACCAATTTGTTGGCCAATTCTCTGAATCCGAATAGAATTAGGGAACCAATTAAAGGTCCAAATTGAGTCAAAGCTCTTCAGATCAATTCAGAAAAGATTCAGAGAGCTTTGGCAATTCGGGCAGTCCCCAGTGGCTGTAGCAGGGAGCCGGTTCCAGACTCCATGCTGGTAAGTAGGGGGTGGAAGAGGGGAGGCTGGAGGAGGGGGGAGAGGACTGCCAGGCCCCATCCCCTGCCTGCTTCTCTGCAGGAGCAGGGGGGAGTCGGGGGGCTCATGGCAAACCCCCCCGCATGCTGCATGGGGCAGTGGGGGCCAGCAGGGAATCACCCCCCCTCCCCGCGCAGCAGCACCTGGTGAGTAGGGGCTTTTTTTCCCCAAAGAACTGGGAGCTGGAGTGGGCAGGGCAGCCATTGCTGGGCCTGGGAGAGTGGGCAGGGGATGGGACCTGTGTGATTTGGAGATTTGGCTGATTTGACAGCAGCTGAATGGCCGAATCAGATTCAGCCAAATCGATTTGGGACAGTGATTCGAATCACCGAATCAAATCACTGTCCCCTGAATCAGCCGAATCCGAACGTGAAGTGATTACTAGCCACTTCACACAGGCCTAATAACTGTTGCTTTGCTTCCCGTTTCACAGATGGAGAAACAAGAGAGAAAATAAGCTGCCCACAGATGCAATAAAAATTAATAAGAATGCCAGGAAAGGACCCTAGATCTCCTGGTTCTTACTCCCACATTCTTATCACATTCCCCATCTTTCTTTTTATAAGTACGGAAGCTAGAAACCAGACTCGTCAGAGCAGATCAAACGCTAGCAATGCTCATACCAAATCCAACACAGCAGCTCTGCATTTTGATTTTTCTTTTATGCCCAATTGGCCACATTTAATATCATGAAGAACTCAAAGCAGATATTTGCTGCAGTGCAATTACAGCTCATACAGTACATTGGCAACTGCAAATGATATAGTATTTCCACTTGATGGCAGATTAATTTGGTATGATGTTTTCCCTTGAGAGGTCTTAAAGAACTACAGTTCTGAAAGCACCTTGCAGCTTGTATTTATAGCACTACGGATTCTGAGTAGGAGTAACTGAGTATACACTTGCCTTAAATTGAATTTCTTTTACCCTCCTCCTTTAATGTTTGTTACTTAGCATAGCATACTTCCTATGTGTTTGTCAAAAAATATGGAAATAAGATTTCCCTACAGGGTCTGTAGATAAATCCCAGTGATGTTTTCCTTTGTGAAGCATTAATGAACCTTTCCTAGTGATGCTACAGAATCAAATCCTCACAGGCAGCTGTCATTGCCAGAGCTCCTGGGTCTCTGCTCTTCATGGAGGAAACCAGAAAGAGAGACCCAGTCTATCAGGAATTTCCAGGGAACATGCACATGGACTAGGTGGTCAGTAGAAAAGTGAAAGTTAAAATCAGTTACATTACAACAGCCTGAAACTGGGCTGCGCAGCTCTTACAAGGCAGCCATAGTGAAGAGGGCATGGATTTTTCTGCATGGGGGATTCTAGCACCGTTACTGGCCACCTGTTCTGTGGAGTATCTCCTTCACGGTCTACCCATTTCCTGAGTACTGAACTCACTTTAAGTTGCTTTGGGCACTGCAGTCTGGTGTAGCATTTCTGTGCAATCCCAGCAAAGCACAGTGGACATAAGATACATACAAGTCCAAAGGTTAAATGCATCAAATCAGTCACCGGAGTCATAACCCCTAACAAATGTTGTATCTGGAAGCAGAATAGAATTTAAAATCAAACCACCAATGATCCACAGATCACTGACATGGGCCGCAGGAAACTCCACCATGGCCCAGCCAATACTATGACAAAAGGAAACATGACTATGTTCCTTGGCCATTGAAGTTGTGATGAACTCTCTACAAAAGCTCATATTCATCAGCATGCAGCAGTGCAGCATGGGTGGTACATTTCACAAGAGCAACATGACACCCTAACCCATATGAACTGCAAGGCTCAGCAGCAAGGATAGAACTAGGGGGTGAGGATAATATAGACTTAACACAGCCCTGTGAAGCGAAGTTTATGTCTGCAAAGCTCCTTGAGTTTACAGGGTCATGTTGACATGTGAAGTGCCAAGTCTGGCAGCAGTGCCCTAAAGCACACTGTACTGTTCTCCCTCCTAAAGCAGAAGCAACAGAGCTGCATTTTAGTGCCAGTCCAGATGCACCAATTAGCCAACCCCTGTACTAACTGGTCCATTCACAGTGCTATATGGACACAGGTGCACTGCATTTGGTTTATGAAGAAGGCCACACAAGTGACACACTGTGCATGAGGCACTTACGTTGGGCACTAAGTTTAATGTTAGTCATGGCCTGGGATGGAAGGTGCCGGAAGAGGACTGTCATAAGCAATTATCTGACTTCCTAGAGTATGTTTACATAGCTGGCTCTCAACCCTTTTGGAGTCAGGGCACCCCTTCATAGCTTTTCTTAATTTGGTAGCTACCCCAGCTGAGAACCACTGCTGCATTCCCTTGGCATATCTTAGTGCTTCTCAACTGGGTGCAGTCAATTAAGTACCTGCTGTTGCTGTGGTCATTCCCAGTCTCACCCTCCCCACCACCATGCTCTCCTGGAAACAGTCGCACAAAACAGTTTTAACTGCCTTGTGCACCACCTCTCTTTCTGGAACAAGCATTTGAGGAGAGTTATCGTGGGGCTGGGAGATGGAACCTGTTCTGTTGGATGAGGAAGATCGGCAGTAGGACTGGGTACTCTTGCCTGATTAGCACCCCTGATAGGTGGCCACCAAATCATCCCTGAGCCTACACTTTTCCAGGCTGAAGAGTCCCATAGCTTTCAGCCTCTCATTGTAAGGTCTGTTTTCCTGACCTCTGATTATGCATGTGCCTCTCCTCTGCACTCTCCCAAGCTTCTCCACGTCCTTTTTGAATTGTGGAGCCCAAAACTGGATGCAGTACTCCAGCTGTGGCCTCACCAAGGCCGAGTACAACAGGAGAATGACGTCTTGGGATTTGCTTGAGAAGCATCTATGGATGCAAGCTAGTGTTTTGCTTCCTTTACTAGCTGCAGCATCACACTGAAGGCTCATGTTCATCTTGTGTTAATCATGACCCCCAAGTCCCTTTCATCCAAAGCGCTAGCCAGTGTAGCACTACCGAGCCTATAAGGATGCTGCAGGGTTTTCCTCCCAAGGTGGAGAACCTTGCATTTTTTGGTGTTAAAGGCCATCAGGTTCTCATCTGCCCATTTCTTGAGCCTGTCAAAGTCAGCCTGGATTGCCCTCCTGTCCTCAGGTGCGGACGCTTTACCCCAATGTTTGGTGTCGTCAGTGAATTTGGCCAATCCGCTTCTGATGCCAATGTCCACATCATTAATGAAGATGTTGAACAATATAGGCCCAAGAACAGAGCCTTGAGGGACCCCACTGGTCACAGGGCATCACAACGATTGACTTCCATCAACCACCACTCTCTGGGTCTGACCACATAGCCAATTCCCCAGCCAGCGGATTATGGAGAAGCCGAGGCTGCAGTTGGCCAGTTTTGCCAAGAGGTGATCATGGGATACCAAACCGAAGGCTTTTTTAAAGTCAAGATATACAATATCAATCTCTTTCTCCTTGTCCTGGTCATAAAAGGAAATAAGATTGGTCAAACAAGACCTACCCATGACAAACCCATGCTGGCTATCCCTCAGGATTTTGCCATTGGCCAGTCTGTTGAGAATGGTCTCTTTGATAATATTTTCTAGGATCTTCCCCGGGATAGTGGTCAGGCTGATGGGCCTGTAGTTTGTTAGATCCACTTTCCTCCCCTTCCTGAAGATAGGCACCACATTGACTTCCAGTCTTCAGGCACTTCACCAGAGCACCAGGAGTTCTCAAAGATCCATGCCAGGGGCTGGGCTATGATGCTTACCAGCTCCTTGAGTGCCCTGGGGTGTAAGCTGTCAGGGCCGGCTGACTTGAAGGTATCCAGCCTCTCAAAGTGTTCCTTCACAAGGTCAGCATTGATGGAGGGTAAGGAATCTCCCTCACCCAGGCCTTCCTGTCCCGTAATGAGCAGGGACTGGTGAAAGACCGATGCAGAGTACCCATTTAGCAAGTTGGCTTTTTCATGGGTGTCGGTTTTTGGTTGTCAATTGTCCCATCTGGTTTAGCAGGGGTCCAGTGTTGCCCTTGCTTCTCCTCTGGCTCTCCACATATCTAAAAAAAGACTTTTTATTATCCTTGATACTTGTATCCAGTAGGAGTTTAGTCTCAGCCTTGGCTTTCCTGGTTTGCTCTCTGTAGGTCCAGACCAGTGCAAAATATTCCTCCTTGGAGGTAGATCT